GCCATAAAAAGGATCAGCCCCACCTTCCAAAGCCTGAAACAATTGAGTGCTCCCATGCCTAGTGCCAGCCCCACTCAGCTGCACTCCTAAGAGAACTGACAACAGCCTTATAGGCCTGAGGCCTATCGCAACTGTAAGCCCCTGAGCCTGGCAACCAGCTACACTGGGTACCAACCCAATTAATGGGAAAACTGCAACAGGAGTGTGCTGATAGACTTTGTAGCTGATGGTGCTGAGGCTCCCCAAACTGGATTTACAAACAGCTGACCAAGGAAGGAAAGATTATACTCCCTGAGTACCTGCAATAAGAGCAACCCTGCTACAGCAGAAAGACACAAGTAGCCCACAAAGGGGTCACTCCTAGATCATTTGGACTGTTGACGAGAGGGAAGCACACTGCTGGGCCTCCTAAGGCATCTCATACATCTCCAAAATTAGGAGACATAGCTGACTCACCTAATACATAGAAATAAGCACAGAGAAAGAGGCGTAATGAGGAGACAAAGGAATACCTTCCAAGCAAGGGAACAGGACAAAAACCCAGAAAAAGGACTAAATGAAACAGAAATAAGTGACCTACTTGACAAAGAGTTCAAACAAAATATCATAAGGATGCTCACAGATATTGGGAGAATACTGGATGAACACAGTGAGCTCATCAGCAAAGAACTGAAAAATATAAAAAACCAATCAGAAATGAAGAATACAATACTGGAAATGAAAAATTCACTAGAGGGACTCCATAGCAGAGCAGAGGATGCAGAAGAATGGATCAGTGAGCTAGACAAAAAATTAGAGGAAATCACCCAAGCTGAACAGAAAAAAGAAAAAAAGAATTAGAATGAGAACAGTCTAAGGGAACTCTGGGACAATATCAAGCACACTAACATTCGGATTATAAGTGTCCCAGAAGGAGAAGAGAGAGACAAAGGGGCAGAAAATTTATTTGGAGAAATAATACATGAAAATTTTCCTAACCTGAGGAAGGAAACAGACATCCAAGTACGGGAAGCACAGAGAGCTCCAAACAAGATAAGCCCAAAGAGGCCCACACCAAGACATATTATAATTAAAATATCCAAAATTAAAGGTAAAGAGAGAATCCTAAAAGCAGCAAGAGAAAGGCCGCAAGTAACATACAAAGGAAAGCCCATAAGGCTATTGGTGGACTTCTCAGCCAAGACCCTACAGGTGAGAAGAGAATGGCATGACATATTTAAAATGCTAAAAGAAAAAAACCTACAGCCAAGAATTCTCTATCCCTCAAGGTTGTCGTTCAGAATGGAAGGAGAGAGAAAGAGCTTCCCAGACAAGCAAAAATTAAAGGAGTTTATCACCAAGAAACCAGTTCTACAAGAAATGCTGAAGGGACTTATTTAAGTGGGAAAGTGATGATCACAAATAGAGATTAAAAAAATTATCAAAAAAAAAAACAAAACCCGAAACCCAGGCAATAAAATCACTTGTAAAGGTGAAAATATAATAAAGGTAGCAGATTAACCACCTGTGAAGATAATATGAAGGTTAAAAGACAAATGTACTAAAATCACCTATTTCAATGATAAGAGGGTAATGGATAGACACACACTAAACAAGAGACTATATATGATTTCAAAAACATAAAATGTGGGAGGAGGGGAGTGAAAAAGTAGAGCTTTTAGAAAGAGGTCAAGCTAAAGAGTCAATCAACTTGATATAGATTGTTATATACATAGAATATTAAATAGCATCCTCATGGTAATCACAAATCAGAAACCTATCATAAGTAAGCAAAAAAGTAAGACAAAAGAAAACATATTACTAAAGAAAGCCATCAAACCACAAGGGAAAAGAACAAGAGAAAAAGAAAGGAACAGAGAAGAGCTACTAAAACACCCAGGAAAAAAAAAGTAACAAAATGGCAATAAATACATATTTATCAATAGCTACTTTAAACGTCAATGGACTAAATGCTGCAATCAAATGCCATAGGGTGGCCAATTGGATAAGAAAACAAGACCCGTGTATATGCTGCATACAAGAGACACACTTCAGACCTAAAGACACTCACAAACTGAAAGTGAAAGGATGGAAAAAGATATTCCATGTAAATGGTAAAGAAAAGAAAGCAAGGGTAGCAATACTTATATCAGACAAAATAGACTTTAAAACAAAAACTGTGACAAGAGACAAAGACGGGCACTACATAATGATAAAGGGAACAATCCAACAAGAAAATATAACACCTGTAAATATCTATACATCCAACATAGGAGCACCTAAATATATAAAGCAACTATTAACAGACATAAAAGGAGAAATAGACAGAAACACAATAGTAGTAGGGCACTTTAACACTCCACTAACACCGATGGATAGATCATCCAAACAGAAGATCAATAAGGAAATGCTGGCCTTAAATGACACATTAGAGCAGACGGACTTAGTATAGGGTATCCTCAGAAGATTAAGAATAGGTCTACCATATGATCCGGCTATTCCACTGCTGGGTATTTATCCAAAGAACTTGAAAACGCAAAGGCATAAAGATATATGCACCTGTATGTTCATCGCAGCATTATTCACAATAGCCAAGTCTTGGAAGCAATCTAGGTGCCCATCAAGGGACGAATGGCTCAAGAAGACATGGTATATATACACAATGGAATACTACTCAGCCATAAGAAATGATGAAATCCAGCCATTTGTGACAACATGGATGGACCTTGAGGGTATTATGCTGAGTGAAATTAGTCAGAAGGAGAAAGTCAAATACCATATGATCCCACTCATAAGTAGAAGATAAAAACAACAACAAACAAACACATGGCAACAGAGATTGGATTGGTGGTTACCATAGGGGATGGGGGGAGAGGGCAAAAGGGGTGATTAGGCTCACGTGAGAGGGGCTGGACTATAATTACTTTTTGGGTGGTGAAGATGATGTAATCTACACAGAATTCGAAATATATTATGATGTATATCTGAAAGCTATATAATGGTATAATCCAATGTTACTGCAATTAAAAAAATTAAAAAATTAAAAAATTCAGATCACTCTCTGGCACATAGTGCTCAATCAATATTTTTGCTGATTGTTGTTGCTGCTGCTACTGTTACCATCATCAATTTGTCAGAGTTTTTTTTAATCTGGAAGAATTTTTAATCAATATTACAAATTTGTATTTTTATTTAAAACTTATTTTTTAATATTTAGTCTTCCCAACCAGGAATGCAGCATAACTTTTGCCCAATTACTTGCCTTCCTTTATTGCATCAGCTCATTGAGAATGCCTGGCACTACATACACATTCAACTAATCTGTTTTTAATGAATTATTGAGTGCTTTTTGTAGCTGGTTTTGTGTTTTTTATCCTGCAACTCCACTAAACATTTTTTTAGTGCTAGCAATTCTCTTTGTGCATTGTTTTCTAGGTGTATATCATCATCTGTTAAAAAGACAAGAGAGTACATTTCCATTCCCTATGTATTACTCCTCTTATTATTTTCCTTCTCTGATGACTGTTACAAGCGTTTCTCCTGCTACATTAAGTAGGAATAGTGTCCAGAGTATCCTTTCTGTTCCTTTTTTAAAGGAACACAAATGTTGATTTTTGGCCTTCGGTGTAGTATATTGTTTATTATACTTAGGCTCTTTCATAGCTTTAAAGTTTTTTTAAATCAGGAATAGCTAGGGGTTTTATTCAGTATAAATTTTCACAGTTGTCTGTTTCTTCCCTCTCATTAGACCTATCTGCTAACACTTGTCAGTATTACCCATGTGATTGCCTAGAAGAAATCCTCTCTTTGCTCCTAAGCTGTGTGGGTCGATCATCATCTATTCAGACAGCCTAAAGCGGCTGTAAGCCAGGCTCTGAGGGGCTCCTTGATGGATAAGGTGCATGAGGCTTTGTACTTGGACTTATCACGTGCATTTTTGGCTCCATGAAGCAGTTTTTCCTATTTCCTGGTCCTTGTTGAAATGTGAGATCATTGTAAAGGACAGAGAGGTGATTTTCAGATAAGTGAGGTCCTGTTGCATTGGTCAGAGTTCCTGACAGTGTTTGGTAAATGGATGAGAATAAATGATGGATCTTACTGCAGAGCCCCGAGGGAGCTGTTACTCATCCACATTTCTGTTGTTTATAATGACAATAAACACCTCACCCCATCACTATTTGACCTTCCTCAGAAAGAACCACTGACTCTTGGAAAGTCGTCGATTGCCACAGACAGATGAAAAGTAGCTTGTGACTCACTTTGTGGTTTTGAGATAAAAAAATACAACTTTCAGTTTACCAGTTTTTAGACATATAGAGAACATATGTTTTTAAAGATTAATATAGAGGGAGACCTGGCTATCTGGGATTTCATATTGGCATCCTCATGGTTACAGAGTTAAAAGGGAAACAAAATTCATCATAAAGCAAGAAAGAGAAAAAAAATCACCAAAGAAACAATCCACCTATAAAATTAGTCGTCATCAGACATCCAAACTGAATAACTCCTTGTTCCTGTTCATGGTCCATATATTTCCTCTTCTGTGCCTCTCCTGAAGCAGTACCTCCTGCCTGATTGCCTGTCCATCCATCCATCCATCCATCTACGCATCTAGACATCCACCCAGATATACGTACACCCACCCGTCCATGCATCCATCCACTCAGCAGCAGTTATCACATACCTTCTGTGTGCCAGGATCTGGGCTGTGTAGGTGTACCCTGGACCTCTCAAACACCTCCTCTTACAGGTAGCCAATGCTTCCCTGATTCCCTCTCCCCACCTCCCAGAGGTGTTCTACTCCTTCTCTGAGTGCCAACAGCATTTGGTGACTTCTCATTTAGAACATGGTGCTGTGTTCTATTTGGTGTATTATCTACTGGCCTTTGTGTTTTCTTTCTGTCAAGAGGAAAGTTGGGGTCTGCTCAGCTCTGCATCTTCCTCCTCCAGGATCCCTGGGGCTGACCGGGTTTGTGGCCACATCCCCTCTCTCTCCCTTTCACACAGTCCTTCTCTTCCAGGGCTAAAGTTGCTGCTGCTGATGGGCCCCCCGGGATCCCAGCCCAGACCCTCACCACTGTGAAACACACAGTAAAAATAGAAAAAGATGCTGTCCTCCAGGACTATGGATTTCACATTTCCGAGAGCCTTCCCCTCACAGTGGTGGCCGTCACAGCAGGTAGGGGCTAATAGGAAATGAGAAAAGAGTTTGACTTTTTTGGGGGAAAGGGTCTTGTTCTCTTCCCATGTCTGTGTCCTATGACATGCAGAAAATACTACGCCAGGAAGTTAGAAAGGGTGTGCCAATTCTGTTTTGGGCTCTGCACCTTCCTTTGGTGCTGGGAGGGAGGGAGCCTCAAGTGCACATCCATGGCCTCAGCCAGGGCTTTGCCCCCTCTGGGGCCCCTGGCCCATCTCAGGGGCAGTGACAGTGTTTGGATCAGCCGGCCTTCCTCTTTGAGCCCCGCATGCTCCGAGCTGGGGAAGAGTTTCCGGTCAGACAGTAATAGACTCTATTGATTTGTTTTCGCTTGAGTCTTTGTGAAATATGGGCTTATCAGGGTGAAGAGGAGCAGGCTGGGAATGTCGAGTGTTTGTTTTCATACTTCAGCTGCGTATTTATGTTAGATCTAGGACTAGTTAATGTGTTAATTTTGATTTACACACACACCTGAGTCCTTAGAGATGAACGTAGTGGATTCTCTGGCCAGCTCCGTTGACTGAGGGGTTTCTGTTAGTCTTCTTTCCCAGGACAGTCTCCTAACATCCTTGAAGGTGATGGATGGAGGTACATTAGCCATGATTTCTAAGCAGGAAAACTGAGATCCACGTGAGCCCGAGGCTGGCCAGAGATGGGGGTGTGTGAGCCAGTGCCCTGGGGACTGGGTCAGGCTGCCATTCGAGTGTGCTGCTGTGACACACCCGCCTGGGCTCTCCTGGCAGGAGCACCAGTTACTGCTTTTCTGTCCGACAGGGGGCTCCGCTCATGGCAAACTTTTCCCCGGTGATCAGATCCTCCAGATAAACGACAAGTTTGCCGAAGACCTTTCCTATGAACGAGCAGCCGATATTCTGAGGTACTAAATTGTCTTCTATATCTTTTCTTAAATGCTCTTGCAGGTACAGCCTGGTTGGCATCTATGTAGTTTCATTGATCTGGTCCTCCCACCTTCTGCCTAGTGTCATTGTGATTTGTGTAAACGCCTCACTTTCTGCCTGGACTGTGTTCTCCTTGAGACCAGGACACAGTGGGCACTCAGTTGAATGAGTGGATATGGTCAGCACTGACAGTTGGTGGCCCTGGTTTTAAGATGGAGAACTGTCAGTGGTAGGCGTGAAAAGGACTAACAGGACATTTTATAAGCACATGTAGGCCTTGTCTTTTAAAATTTTCACTCAGTACTGTTTTAGTGACTTGAATATAAATACAGAAATGAGAAATTGATGAAAGTCAGCTTGAAGATACTTCAAGTTTGTACGTTAGTTTGTGCCTTTTTGGGAACGGCTGATCTGGTTTTGGGGTGGTTTTCATTTCTGAGGGCACATCATGGCAGCGCACACTGAGTAATAAGTGACAATAACAGGATCAGAGGAAGAGACAGAGCAGAGGCAGGATGCAGTCTCCGCCCTCGGGAAGCACACGGTCTCGCTGCAGAGAGACACGCACACACAGTTTAAGATTTACAGAGAATCCATGAAAGTGTGGAAAATAGAATGTCTTCAGTCAAGGCCAATATAGCTCCAGGGTTGCCAGAGAATAAGTTGAGTGGGTAGGGCAGCCAGGAAAGAATTTGGTGATTTCATTTAAACAATGAAGTATAGTTATGGAAATCGTGAAGTTTGCTTTCCCAGTGATTGGATGATTTCTCAAAGATGATCTCTTCCAGCAAATGAATTTAGATTTTCAATGCTACCAGTGTTTCTTCTAGGCTAGATCAAACTCTGACTAATAAACTAAAATATTTACAATTTAAAGCAGTAGACCAGAATTTGGATGTTTAGGTAACATTGAACCCCAATCTGTGCACTGAGTATGTACTCTGGCCGGAGAAGCCTGTGGGGCAGTTAGACTCCACTCCCCAGACACTTACAGGCTGTCAGTGCAGATGCAACTCACGCACACCCTACTGAGATTGACGGCAGATGCTATATCAGGAGAAGCAGAGAAAAGGATCTGTAAACCCTGGAGAGTCCTCCAATTTGGGAGGATGTTGTAGTTTGACAAAACAGAAGGGTGCAAAAGTATTTCAGCTGTACCTTTAATGCTGGGTAGCATTTGGGCCTCAAAGATGGAGGTGAGAGTGATCCAGGCAAAGTGACAAGCAGGAGCGCTGGGTGGGGCACAGGGGACACTGCAGTTCATTTTGCCTAAGGTACCAGATGCCTGGAGAAAAGTTCTGGGAAGTGAAGCCCAGATGATGGAGAGGCTAGAAGGCTGACACAGCAAGCTCAGGTGGTCTTCCCCTCCTGGAAGGGTGAGCCATCTAATCCTTCTGAGCAGGCGTGTGGCTTGATGTGTGCCATGCACCTTTGCTCTCTGCCATAGGCCACATGTGGGAATCCCAGAAGTGCTTATTTTATACCTTAGTTCCCAGTGTCATTTTTTACTTATAAATGGAAAAAAACAAGCAAAATAAAAATGGCACAACAACAAAACCTCTTTAATTCCTCCAAATATCTGTGAGGCCAAAATGTCCTTTTGAGAGTACTTGGACCTTGGTTTGCTGTAAATTATCTTGGAAAATGCCTGTTCTTATATAAAATGGAACGGAGGCAATCCCCAGACACTTAGAAACCTTGGCTGAGTTTATCCATTTGAGGAAGTCACGTAACAGCAGCAATTGGCCTAAATGTTCATATTGCAAGAAGTCAAATGAAATTATTTTGCAAACTCTTTCCCTATGGCAAAGAAAATGGAAAACATGAATTGATTTTTCGTTGTATTGACTGTCTGCCAATACAAAGTGGAGGCTTGGCAGTATCTGGATGATTTGATCACTTTTGGAGTCTAACAGATAATCCAAGACAAAAATGTCTAGTATCTTGATTATATGAGTGGGCTCGTTACACTGACTTTCTGTGCCCAAACACCGTGAACTGGTTGGCTTTTATCTGATAAATGTCATCCACATTCGTTCATTCTGTTTAGTGAAATGTTTAGTCTAACTTTTCTGAAATAGCCACCTAAGTTGTGTTACGGCCATGTTTTCTCTATAAAAAATTTTTTTGGACATAAACCTAGCTAGTGGCCATAGCAACTAGATGAGTTCTCCGTCATATAGATTAAATTAAGGCTAAGTGACTTAATTTAGTGGCTGTTGGTATAGACTAGACGGTAGAGGCAGTTATCTGAAGATTGCTCAAGGTAGAAGCAGCACTCGGGGACAGCTGAAGTTCCCTTGCAGATCACTGCTCTCTTCAACGTCCTTCTCAGTTTTGCTGAGCCAAAGAAGCTGAGGGGAAAGAGGCTGCTTTGTAATCCTGCCAGTCTTTTTGACCCTGACACACGTGTATCAACCAGAATGACAAAATGTTTTTGTCTTTATTCTTTTCTTTCAGGGAAGCTGGAGATTCTCTTTCAATCACAGTTGTTCGCTGCACGTCGGTAAATCTCTTTCTATGTCCTATGTGTTAGTTTCACCTTTCTTGGCTCCAAGACCCTGTACCCTCAGTGGGATATGCCTCAGAGAACAACCAGGAAAGGCAAAGGGCAGAGGAGACAGCTGCCAGGCAGTGGGTGGCCAGTCAGTCAACGTTGCCTGAAGGCTGCCTATGTGCTAGTGTTGTAGAGGAAACAGATATGGGTCCAGGCTTCAGGAACTCATGGTCCAGCCAAGGAGACAGACCTATGATTATGCAGAGTGGGACGATAAAAAGGGCGCCAAAGTGACAGTGTCAAGACAGGTTTGAATGGTATGACTTTGGGCAAGTCATTTAGTTTCAGCTTTGACTTTCGTAAGACAGTGATGATGACAATGATGGTCTTGTCTATCTAATGGGTTGTTATGAGGACCCAACGAGGTGTTGGATGTGAAAGTGTTTTATCTACTCTGAGGTTCACCACAAGGCACAATGTGGCATAGATGATGCACAGGGAGGAAATGGCACTCCTAAACCACAGGCCAAGGAGCCCTGCATAGGTGATACGGGGAAAAGTATGCAATCAAGTTATAAGAGAGGGCTACAAAGGAGGAAAAGTGGACACGAAATTCTCATTTTGAGAGACTTGAATATGTACCTCTTAGCCTTGGCCACAAAAAGACAATAATAGAGGCATAGAGAATTTTAATAATGAACTTCACAATCTAATCTAATTGACCACATGCCAGGCTACCAAGAAAACTCAATAAATACCCCAAATACGCAACTGTATAGGTCTCTTTTCCAGAATATTATAAAAATAGAAATTGATAAGTATCAAAAGCTTAATTACAACTATCCAGCCATTTGGAAATAAAAATGCAATCTCCTAAGTAAAGAAAGAGTCAACTCGAAAAGCAAACTACCATTAGAAACTAATACTAAAGTAAATATTAAAATAATTTAATATATAATATAAATATGATTTAATAATATAATATAAATATTTATATAAAAATAATATAATAATATTAACATAAATATTTATTAACATAAATATTAAAATAAATAATATAAAATAATTTTAAAAATTAGAACTACTTCTTAAATCTTATTATGTGAAGCTGAAGCTCTACTCAAGAGTAAAATTCGTAGCCTTAAGTGATTTTATTATTTAATAAGGGAATAGGTCAGAGAAATATTCAGTGCAAAAAATTGGAAGAAAAGACTACTAAAACAAACATAAAGCAGAATAAAGAAAATAATAAAAATTAAAATCTAAATGATGCTTTGGAAAACAGAAAAAATTGTAAAGTTGATAAATATATCCAAAAGCTAGTAGTATAAGGGGAAAAAAAAGAAAATAGGAAAACCTTATGGAAAAGAAAAGTGTATGCTCCATGTGAAGGAAGCTGGAATATTACTGAAGGATGTAAAAAATTTTTCTTAATGTAAAAGGAAATACATACCATGTTCTTTGGTCAGGAAACTGTTAATCCATTAGTTATTCTTGTATTAATGTATATGCTTAATGCAAATTTAAACTCCCTATGGGACTTTTATTTGGATTTTGATAAAGTATTTCAAGATTAGACTTATCAAGAAAATCTTTTTTAAAAAAAATAACAAGGACGGCCTTGATGTGCCAAATTTTAATACTAGTAAAGCTGCAATAATTAAAACAGTAGGATATTGATGAAATGTTGGCCATATCAATGTAATCAAATGAAAAGTCTAAGAATAGATATTAGTATAAGAATTTAGTATGTGATAAATAAGGCATCTCAATTCAGAGGGAGAAAAGATGATTATTCAAGAAATTGTACTGGGACATTTCTTTAAGTATTTGGAAAGAATGAAGTTTCATCTCACACTATTTGATGTTAAAAAATTATATATAAAAAACCCATAAAAATGTAGATAATATGGATGGGGTGTCTCTGGGCATAGGTTGCAGAAAGAGCTCCTAGGCCTAGAAGGAGTGGGAGGGAGCACAGCGGAATGACTAGCTGTTTGATTATGTGGAAAAATAAAATCTCTGTGGTCCAAAAACTCTATAACATTAAGAAGCAAAGAAGTTGTTATCTCTCCTAATTTGACAAGTGTTATCTTTTGTTTTTATTTCGTGGAAATAGAATAGGAAAAAAACCACCAAAATAGGATTAAGAAGTTTGCCATAAATATGACAGACCAAGTGTTTTATGCACAAATAAATGGAGATTCGTCTATTCTAAGTGGACTTTGTCTATGAACTAATGTAAAACTAATAAATAAAAAATAGTATACTGACAGCTAATCACTATCAATACACATGCAGGTGTTAAGAGATTCTTTTTATTTAGCTGATTATCGTCTCAGTGGAGAACTTCTTTATCTTAACTAGGTGGTTTTATTCCTACTCTATTTCCAAGAAATGAAAGCAAAAGACAGCACTTGTTAAGTAAGGAGAGAGGGAAACAGCATATAGCTGCATCCTTCAAAAATGGAACAGTGTAGGGAGAGGAAAATGAACATGTTCCAGTACCACTCCTGAGATTCCCACGAGGTTCCCAGGAAGAGGAGAATGTGAATGCCGTGCTCTGGATCCTGCAGAGAAAACCAGCGTTAGCCCAGCTGATGGCCCCAGTGCCTTGGAGAGATGCTCTGAATATCATCTGGCTGACTTGGGCCTCTCACCAGAAGTCATGTGATCATAAGACAAATGATCCTATGTGTCTGGCTTCAGCAAGGATGCTCATCTTTGTCAGTGGATTCTTAGAGTTCTTAAGTGACTTGAAATGGACTAGGAATTATAAAATCCAAAGTTGAAATATTAATTGCTGCTTCTCTAGGACGTAGAATTTTATGGTAAAAAAGTATGTTTTGATTTAATTGTGTCAGTCTGTATTTATATTAATTATTTATGATATATTTCTTATAATATTAATACGTATATTTAATGTCTTATTTAATTTTCACTGAAAGAAAATCCTGCAAGGTAGATACCTTCATTATCCCCCTTTTACAGGTGAGGACCCTGTGGCCTCACTCGCCCGTGGTCTCACATGCAAAAATAGGCGGAGCTGGGTTGTTTTCCAGGTAGTTAGACTCTGGTACCCACGCTCATTAGCTTTATGCAATTTTACCTCCTTAACCCTGCTTTCTTCAAAAAATGGCATTGGCTAATCTAGGGCAGGGGGGATGGGCGATTGCAAAGATATAGAAATGTTTTCCAACTTGTCCCTTTCAGTGGGCTTTTAAGCATTAAGTCTTAATTCAGTAAAAACATGCACAGAGATCATTTTTATCAGCTCAGGTCTGCCACTCTCTGACAAATTAATTTAGAACCCAGGGAGAGCTTAGACGTCCTAGAATAATGGGTAGCTCTTATCCTCTACATTGTTTCTTTTTCATATTAGATAGCCCAACTGAGTGGTTTACAATATGTTTTAGATGCCAAAGTACACAGGTAGCAGAGCTGACATTCAGGTGTAAAAGTGTAGGGGCCACGGTGGGGCCTGTGCATTGGGCGTTCCCATGACAGAGAGCGTATTCTTTCTCAAAGCAGCTGGTTTCAAGGGTTCCAGATGTGAGAGAGGCCCTTCTTCTCTGTAACCCCACTGCCTAGTTGTAGTGCAGAACAAGTCTCTCTTGTATGAAATAGCTCTTCAAAGATTTGGAAGTGTGGCCTTCTCTCCAGGCTAAACGCTGTTCCATCAACTCTTTATCCTAAGATGTGTTTCTCTGAATTCTCACTTCTCTGATAGCTTTCTGGACAGATTCCAGTTTCACGGTGACCCTCCCACATGGTGGCACCCAGACAGGAATACAGTTCCACCTATGGTCAACCGGTGTGAGTCCCACAGGGTGTGGAGGGTGCACTTGCAACATGCACCGAGAACGCTAGTGAAGCCCAAGACTGGTTGACATTTTAGCAGGCCCAACCACGCTTTTGGCTTGGGTGAAACTTGAGGTTGACTAAAAAGTGAGCTGGTTTTCAAATGAATAGTTGCCATGCTAGCCCCCCACCCCCCCATGCCATGCTTCTGCAGTTGATTTTTTTTTTTATCCTCAGTGCCATGCTTCACATTAATTCCTGTCAAATCACGTTGCTTTGGCCCAGCGTTCTGGCTTGCTGAGATTTTACAGTCAGGGAATTGTGGGCCGAAAGGCATATCTGCATAGTCATCAGCTGTAGTCATTCTTCTTTCCTTTCAGGGAACCACCTCTTCCCAAGTCCCCCCACTACCTCCATTACCCAGCCCGTTGATGTTCTTTAGCCTGATTTAGCTCTGGGCCTAACTCTTCCAGAATCGCTCTCCCTAGGGTGAGAGACGATAGTGGTTACTTCCGCACATTCCTGTTCTCTCTGTGTCTCTCCTCTGTTCTGCCCCTGATTTCTCGTTCTTTGAGTCTTTAGGGTGCTAGTGGTTGTACCTGTTGCTTTGACCCCTCACTTCAGTTCTGCGGCCCTGCCGCTCTACACCCTCATGTTTGTTCTTAGTGATTTCCTGGCCTCTGACCCATGGCTGCCCCTGGTCCTCAAGTTTTCTGTACCCCTGTTTTAGATTCCCCATTCCTTTCTCTTTCCTCCAACATTTCTGCTGCCTGAGGTCTGATGACATGTTATAGCTCCATGTCATTCACAGGTTTGGTAAGTCTACTTTCTCTGACTTCATCCAAGGCTTTGCTAAACATCACTGATGGGGACTGAGCTGAAGGGAGCCTGAGTTGCTTAGTTAGAAATCAGGTACAATTTTGAGTATGGCTTGACTAGTTTTGAATCCACCTAATGGCTCTGCCTCTGGCCTTCTCCACGGGGGGATTATAGGAGACGTTATCAAATACTTTGCAAGAATGAAGGAATACTACTATGTCCGCAGGACCCTGGCCTACCAATCTGGAATCCTATCTTCAAAAGAAAAATGAACTTGGTTTGCTCTGACTTGTTCTTGGTAACTCCATATTGGTTATCAGTGATCAATGTCTAAAAGTTCTCTGACCATTTCTTGTCTTGGATTTTGCCAAGAATTAATGACAAGCTTACCAATATGTGTTTTCCTGAAATCTTCCATATTCATTTTCTGGGAAACTTGATACTTAACCATCTTCAGTCTCCTAATATTTCTTCCATTCTCTGTTCTGTGGTTAATGCCAACTTTTACATATAATAGGCCCATCAGCCTCCTAGTTCACTGCTAAAGAATCTTGAACTTATTCAAAGCAGTCTGATAGTCTCATCACTAATTCTGGCTTGTAACTTTCTCCTTCACTTATTCTTTCTATCTCTTCTGGTTGGAAAACAATTTTGCTTGAAGAAGAAAGCAAATTGAGATTAATTTCTCAGTTGAGGGATTACCACACAGGTTATCACTTCTCTGGGAACATTGCTGTTTTCCTCTCTCCTTCTACTAAATATTTTGTTTTTTTAAAAGCAAACTGTATATGTGAGATATTGAATCAGTCATGAATCCTGTCACACAAAGGTTCTGGTTACCTATAAGATCACATTTATCTTCTTGCATTAAAATGACAGGGTCACTTGTTCACTTCATGTACTCTATGGCATTGGTTTGTTGATATCTGAGTCTCTGAGCATTGTTTCCAGCAGCTTCCCTGACTACTGTGACATATCTCTTCCCTCAGCTACGCAGAACATGGCCCAGAAGCTCCCTCTTGGGACTCTTATACATGTAAACATTCTAGAGGCTTGCCTAAAGACTGTCCAAACCAAGAAACATAGGATGCTGGGCTGGGAAAAAGCATATCAGGATTTCATCCAGGAAGATCACATCCTGTTGGTCTAGATCATGCAAGTTGCTGTTATTGTGTCATAATTTAGCCTGATACAGTGTAGGCCAAGGCCTTTACTAATTACTCATAACAATCTGTGATGACTCTTTTTGCCTCTGGGGAAAAAGGGTACTACCCAAAAGATGAGAAGAGCAAAGAAGGGCCACGAATAAATCACGGGGGTCAGAGCTTCAGGGAGCGCTGGAAGCATTCCGGTCCAACTCCCATGTTGTGCACATGGGAAGACTTAAGGCCAAAGAGGGGCAATGACTTGGCCAAAGTCACACAGTTATTTTGTGTTGTTTTACAAACAGACACACACACAAAACTGGTTTTCTTCCATAAGAATTCATGTTTGAGGTAGTTCTCACAACAGTTGAGTAGCAGAACTTGGGTTAGAATTCGGGTCTCTTTGTTCGCAGGCCGGTTCTCTTCGTGTTCATCAAATCACAACCATTTTGCCACCATATTGAATCTTTGACTCTTCTCAGACACATAAGAACATTGTCTGGGTTGGGACCCCTAGATTTTGTGGAAAGAGATCTTTAATGAGATGTTGTCCTTCTCTGTGAGTTTTAATTGAATCCTCAACAGCTGTCAGATGTTTGCTCTTATTTTTAGGAAAGGAGAAGATGTACATGGCTCTTATCAAAGTCTTGTTATAAAATGTGTCATGTTATTGTTTTTCAGGGAGTCCCCAAGTCATCCTTCCTGACTGAGGAGAAGAGAGCCAGGCTCAAGACCAACCCTGTGAAGGTGCACTTTGCTGAGGAAGTGCTCGTCAGTGGACACAGCCAGGTGTGTCACTAGTCAGGGATTGAAATTACTCTTCACGAAGCTCAAGAGCTGCCTGCTGGCACATGACTCCCTGAGACTCTGGAATCCACCGCATAGAGAGGATGCAGAGGGGGTGCAGTAGATTTGCTAAAGGCTCTGTGTACCCTCAATAAGGCGCCTGCAAACCAAAGGCAGGGAGAACCACTGGGGCTGGGGAGAGAAGCACAGGGTGCAGCTCTCTGTTCTTCTGGGGCTCCCTTCTCCTGCCCATGAGACTTCAACAGATTGCGGTTGTGAAGCTTCAAACTTACTATTCCCTCTGAAGGGATGTATGTTAGTAGTGATGGTAGTGACAGGGATTGCTTTTTTTTTTTTAAGAGCCATTGAAGCTCTATTACGTGAACCTAAGCTTTTTGGGTAAATAATCCTTAGTCATCACAACACCCTGCAAGAGAGGTATTTTAACAAAAGATGAAGCGGAGGCTCAGAGAGGTTAGGATAATGCCTGAGCACAGGTCTGTGTGACTTCAGTTCTTTTGTTTTCCACTATGACATACTGTCTAGTCTTTTTTGATAGGAGCATACCCAGGTTTGGGGGTTCAGAAGATAAATTTATAAAGGGAAAATGTTGGCTAGAATTCGATGTTTTAATGTGGACTGTTGGATAAAAGGCTCATTTGTTCATAATTTACTCATTCTCCCCTCTCCCGCAGTCATCTGTAACTATGCCATTCTGAGTTCAGCCATCAATTTTAGATTTTAGATTTTGAAACTTTCAACTGAGAGCTTGTCCTTATCTGGTCTTCCTACTGTCTTAGAGACCAGTGAATGGGGAGTCATGCCCATTTAACAAAGGGTCCAGGGGATCTGGTTTACCTCTGCAGAGCCCTTATTTTCTGTTTGTCCTGCCACTTAACAGACCACAGCTTCAGTTAGACCCGAGAGTGAAAGATGGGTCTGTTCAGGCCGAGGCCGGTGGGGGCCCAGCGCACTGAGAGCTGTAGCCGGCGAGATTGGAGTCTCTCTGTGCTCATGTTTGTAAAAATGGATTGAACTTCTTTAGCAAGTCAAATTTAGACTCAACATGTGTTTTTAAGAGTAGTACACAGGAATGAGAAGTAGAGGCTAGACTCAGCTAATAGCACAAGTAGAGAATGAGGGCTCTGTGATGTGAGCCAGATCACTGGACCCTGTGTTAAAATGGCCATGACCCACCCTCGCTTCCATTTTCTAGTGTCTATGCTGAGAAGACCAGTAAGATGAACTACAAAAACTAGTTGAGAATGTTGGTGGAGGTGGGGAGTTAGAGGAACAGGGTTCTCTGGGGAAACTGCAGGTCAGGACAGCAGGTCTGCGGACCAGCCACGTGAGGCAGAGACAGCAAAACCAGGGAGAGTGCCTCATGACCGACCTTCATCCTTTCAGGTGTTTAAAAAATGATAAAATTGGTTGTTAACCTTTCCCTCTTGAAACATAATAAGACCCTAGAAGAATCTGAAATGGTAAACCAACATTTGAAACATGCCTAACTTTGCTAACGGTTAAAGAAATGCAAAAGAAAACATTAAGAAGGGACACTTTGTACTTAGTAAATAAGCACGACTAAAGAAAAAATGTAAGCCCTGCTGCTGAGACAGCAGCTGCACTCATGTACTAATTGGTGGCTTTGTCAATTGGTTTAATTTTGGGGGGTGGAAAAGAACAAAACTTAATGAATGCCGTAAAAAGTGGCCCAAGGATCACATTCCTATTAATTTAGTCTATGAAATAACTTACATGCAAAAATCCACATATTTAAAGATATCCGTAGAACTAATACTTAAAATAGCAACAAAAATTGGAAAAATGCTAAATGTCTATGAATGGTTAAATCAATTCCTATATTTCAACTCAATGGAATATTATAAGTCCATTAATATTATAAACATTAAACCCACATGAAAAAGTATATATGAGATATGTGTTGGGTAAAAACTGAGTATAGAATAGTGTATGTTCTATCATTGCAGCTCTCTAAAAACTATTCACAGGTGTAGATAAAAATTGGAAGAGCCTTGGAGAAAAGCAAATGGTGGTAGTTATGTGATGTTGTTATGGATGTATTTTTTGTTAATCACAAATAATAAAGGACTAAGGAAAAAATTTCACACTTGGGAAATCCAAAGATTAAGATTTCTAAACACCTGAAACCAGAGAAGTGAGGTGACAGCAAAGTGAGCAGTTTGAAATCCCTCACCCCTGCTTGAAGGTGAAATGGCACTGGGATATGAACATACTCCTCTTTCCTCTATAAAGATACAGCAGTTTTAAAAAAAAAAGTTATAGAGAGTGATGAGTGTGAATCTTGCTTGAAAGATACAATTGCTCTGATATTTAGAAGATGCAAGATTCTCATTTGAAAAAGGCTGTCAAGTTTTTGGGGAAAAAATAAGCTTCTTTCCCTAGGTGGGCTTGTACCCAAACTCTTCTCAGAGATTAGTGCTGGGAGCAGTTCTAGCTCAAATCTGGGGAACTCGAGAGCCTCTCACTGGGTCTGGAGGACACCCGCTCAAGGGCCCTCTTTATTTGCAGCTAAATACTCAGAGGTCACTTTTTATGAGAGCTGGCCCTGGGGGGATTCCCAAACCCAAAGGGAATCGTTCTCCTGACCTACTCCTCCCCAGGAATTTGGGCTGGCATGGAGTCACCAAACACAGACCAGTCCTGTGCCTCCTTCCCCAAAAGTCCTCCAACAGTGGCAGTGTCCCCTAGGAGATGGTGCACGTGTGGGGCGGTGGTTGGATGAGTGGAGTGGAGAGCAGCCCTCTGCCTTTGGTGGTGCTTCCCTATAGGAATGTAACAGTAAAATGGACAGAGGGGCCTTCGGAAGCTTCTCCCCTGCATTCCACCCCAATGCCACAAGGCACGGTCTGAGGATCTCAGGCCCATTTGGGACAATGTGCATGCTTGTCACCTGACTTGCCAAATTGCATCCCATAAGGGTGGCAACCAGCAGTGAAGTGTCAGCTGATGGTCGTGAGTGCTCAGTATGCTCATAGCAGGGCTTGCTCTTCTCCACTGTCTAGTGGCTGTCCCTTGAACAAAGCGTGCCTGTCTCTGTGTGGCATGCCTCGTCCATCAGAGAAATCTCCCAGTGCCAAGGAGGTTAGGGAGGATCCTGCTCCCACACCAAGCAGGGCCAGGGACACTGAGGATTTGTCACACCCAGGGACAGGGAGGGCCAGTTTCAACACCACTCTTGTGTTTTCCAGGGTAATTCTCTTCTGTGTATGCCCAACGTGCTCAAGCTGTACTTGGAGAATGGACAGACCAAAGCTTTCAAGTTCGAGGCAAACACAACGGTGAAGGTATTGAGAGTAAACTTGAATCTCTTTCCCAGTGAGAATTTGCTGGCGCCCAGGACCCCAGGTATCTTGCCCTACAGCTGCTTTGGTGGTCTCACAGCCACCATGGTCTGAGCACCTGCAATACGCCAAGCACTGTGTTATCGCATTTAGTTGCACAACCACCAAGCAAAGTGGTATCTTTATCACCATCTTGCAGGGAAGGAAACCAGGGCTCAGAGGGATGTAGTACCCAAGGTCTTAGTACAACTCGTAAGCCATCACCCTTAACCACCGGGCTTCCCTATGTATGTGACTCCAAAGATTAGAACAGCGAAAATCCCAGGCATGGTGTCAGGGCAGGCCCAGGCCCCTGCATCTTCTGTTCTGGGTTAAAGTCAGTTCAACTTCTGTTTAACTAGTTCCTCCATACGAGATGCTCCAGGGGTGGGGATGCATAGAGCTAGGTAAAGGGTGCTCCCTGTCTTCCCGGAGCTTGCAGTCTAGTTCAGGGGATGGCCATTCAAGGAGCTCCCAACAGTCCAGGGCAGAATGCAGTAAGGCTGTGAAGAGAGGGACAAGGAAGTGCTCTGCCTGTAAGGGGAAGAGCAACATCTGTCTGTCCTGTTGGGACCTCAGAGAGGCTTTGGGAAGAAGCTGGACCTGAGCTGAGTTTTGAAGGGCAACTAAGAATTCGACCAGGCTGGGTGGGGACAGCTCTGTGGGGGGTTGGAGGTGCACATCAGCTGAGGGAGTCACAAGACCTCATGCAGAGCCAGGAGGTGGGCACTGTCCAGGAAATAGTAAACTGTCAGTGGACTGGAGCCCCGGCCACTTTCTTGTGGGAGGAGCAGGAGACGGCACAGGCTGGCTGGGGAGACCCTCAAATGACAGGCAACAAGGTTTGGATTTTATCCGGCGACAGTAAGGGATGGCGCTGCAGTTTCTGAATGCAGGAGTGAATAGTGTCGGAGGGAGGCTCTGGGGAAGGAGCAAATGCAGGAGTCGTTCAAACAGTGAACACTGTGGAAGACTACACCCTGGGCCCAGCTCTCCTGGTACCAGGGGAGAGCAGGTTCTGGTGGCTGGTGAGCTCTAGGAAATGGACAGTGGCCAAGACACACACACACAAGCACACACACACCTATGCACATGCACTTGTGTACTCACATCCACGCACACACAATGCACGCACACATACATGCACGTAGCCAGTGTTCCTCTCCAGCACCTTCCTTTGGCAGGTCCCGGAGCTGCTCCACATAATCTATCCCCTCCTTACCTCAGCGTGACTCAGGGGAAGCTGGAGAGGGCCTCTTTGACCCTGGAAGCCTAAGCCCACAGGAGGAGGGGCAGAGAGGTACGGACATGTTCCGTGTTCACACACGTCTGGCACTCTCCGAGCAGTACCTTGGGTACTATCTCATTTAATGCCCCTGGTAATCCTGTGACATGATGAGTGTTACCCTACTTTGCAGTTGAGAACACAGGCCCGAGAGATCCAAAACCTGTCAAGGTCTGCTAGCTCATAACTGGCTTCAAAACTTGGTCTGTTCTGAGCCCTGCGCTGGCGTCTGCCATGCTGCCATGCTGCGTAAAAGGGAGGTTTTGCAGGTGAATTAGACGAAGTTTCTACTTCTGTCATCCTTGATCCAAGTGCACTGGAATGGAAGGGAGGATTTATTTAAAGCGAGTCCCCCTTTGGTGGCCAAAGACACTTTGAGGTGATTTACGATAAAAGCACACACCACAGGGAATTAAACCAAGATGGATAGCTGGAGCTGGGGAAATGAGCAAGGACTTCACTGGTGTAACACTGGTTCATCTTACTTATCTGTAGCAGTCAAATTTTTAAAAGCAAATCTTTCAGCTCTTTATGACAGAGAATAAGGCATAAAAACAAATCCTATGGGCAAAAAAGGGAAAAAAATCACTGAGTTCATCAGTGACAGCTCCTCCCCGCTCCCCTGCCAAGAGCAGCAAAGTTCTCATATTAGAAAACCCTCTTTCTCTAAATCAAGGAAAATAGTATGTCATTCAACCCAGCGAACGTTTACTGACACTGTGTGTGTGCCGGCAAAGCTGTTGGTGATACAGAAATAAATGACCCAGGATCACACCCAAAGGGAGCCTGGAGTCTTGGTGTGGGGCTGGGTGAGGAGGCGAGACCCTGGGAGAACTCCCTGTGAAACGGTGAAGGCACAGTGTGCTCAGAATCGTGAATGCAGGACGTGAAAATCGTGTGGTGTCAGCTCGGGGGAGAGAGAGCTTCCAGCCAGGCAGCAAGGAAAGGCCCTGGGGAGTGGTGGCCTATGAGGCAGATGTGGAGAGATGGATGGGAATGGGCCAAGAGAAGTGTGTGAAGACAGCATCCCAGGCATGGGGAACGGCACCAACAAAGACCCAGCGATGGGAAAGTTTGACAACTGTATGGGCTTGTGAGCAGAGTATTGGAAGCAGCAGCAGAATATAAAGTGGGTGAAGTTGATTGGCACCTGATACTTGAGAGCCTTGAATGTCAAGCTGAGGAGTTTGGATTTTGGCTGGTGGGCCATGGGGAACAACTGAATGTTCTTGAGCAAGGGAGAACAGAACCAGTCCAAGGCTTAGATAAGTTCCTCTAGATCAGGGGTCAGCAAACTTTTTCTGTAAGGAGCCAGATGGTAATTATGTTAGGTTTCGCAGGCCGTGTCTGTTACTCAACTCTGCCATTGAAGTGAATGGGCGAGGCTGTGTTCCCATGTAGCTTTAATTACAAAACCAGCAGGGGGCTGGATTTGGCCCAGCGGCTATGGTGTGCCCCACCCTGCTGTAGAGGCAAGGTGGAGGTCAGGTGGGTAGCAGGGGATCCTCAGGACACCACTCTACAAAGCCAGGAGGAATGCATGAGCTCAAACCAAAGTGGACATGGGAGGCTAGAGAGAGGACAGTTAAGAGACAGGCTCTGCGCCATGGCCAGAGCATAGTAGGCAGTGAGTGAATGTTGAGTTCCAGAAGCAGAGAGACTCTCGGGACTTAGTCACTGGTTGGTTATGGAGGGTGATATTCAGAATTGGGCATCGTGAGGAATAGGGAGCACCGAATGGTTTGGTGCTTACTGAATCGGAGGTTCTAGCAGGACATCTATGAGTCTACGATGAGGATTCCTCAGGTGAGAGTTGATGGGGCATCACTGAGTGTCAAGATTTGGGGATATCATGGAGCACAAGATGGACAAGGTTCATGCTCTCGGGGGGGTTACTGTCTAGCGGGGGAAAGACGATAAGCAAGAAAACAAACATCAGCAGCTGGCATGCATTGACCACTTGCCGTCCGCCAGGCACTGCGCTCAATGCCTTGTGGGGGAAATTGCTTTAAGGCACACAGCAACCTTGTGAGATGGGTGCTGATGTTATTCCCAGTTTACAGATGAAAGCACAGAGGCATAAAGAGAATAAGCAGTCTACCCGGGGACGCACAGCCAATAAGTGGTAGTTTGGGTCTAGAACCCATTCCCCTAACTTTACTATATGGTCTCTTACTAAAGAACATAGCTGTTATTGAAAAAACTAACATTAAATAGTGATGAGGGAAACAAACAGGGCCCTGGGACAGAGAATGACAGGGGCAATCATATTTAGATACATTTAGACCAGAGAAAGCCTCTCTGAAGAGAAAGAAATAGCCTTGTGAAGAGTAATGGGAAAAGTATGCCAGGCAGAGGGAACAGCATGTGTGAATGCCCCGAGACAGCTAGGCCTTATGATGACAAAGGGCCGCAGTAGCAAACGAGGGGAATGTGGCATGGCAACTCTAATGGCGCAGCATTAATTATCACTCCATCCTATCAGCCACTCTAAGTAGGCATCACTAGCCTCCATTTCACAGGAAGAAACTGAGGTTCAGAAACGTCAGGTCGATTTCCCACCAGGAAGTCCCAGCGGGTGGTAGTGGGATTCTGTCTGATGAGTGGTTGAAGATGCAGACCCCAGAGAGAGGACGGATCGAGAAACCCTGAAGAGAGGCAGAGGCCCCGCTGGCTGGCTTCAGCCTTCTAAGTAAATCAAGAAAGGATGGCTGTATGGGTGGTGCTGGAGCCTGAGGAGAGGGGGGCAGTGGGCGCAGGGCCGTGAGGGGCTCTGAGAAGTCCCACATGTGGCCTGGCAGGATTCGGCCCCGTGAGTTTGGCAGTGGACCCGGTCAGCACAGGCTTTTCTCTCCCCAGCTGCACCGAGGAGCAGAGAGCAGGTCAGGGGAGCCCTCCGTGCTCTGTGCCTGAGCCTGAGGACAGGCTGCTGCTCCGGTGACCTCATGCCTCTCTGTGCCTGGCAGGACATCATCGTCACAGTGAAGGAGAAGCTGTCGATCCGAAGCACGGAGTACTTCGCGCTGGCCCTGGAGGAGCAGTACAACATCTCCCGGCTGCACCTGCTGCACGAGGAGGAGCTCATCCAGCAGGTGCACTGCCCCTGCCCCTGGGGAGGAGACGCAGGCTGGGCTGGCCGCACGCCTCAGCCAGAGCCTCAGACAGGGCTCACCTGGAGGCGGGATGCACTTTCTCGTGCGTGGAAGGCCCAGAGCTCACTCAGCCTGGGGATCATGGGGCAAGAACAGCCTGAGTTTTGTATGAAGTCAGCAGGGCCCCATTTTGCAGAAGTGGGGACAGAGGCTCAGAGCGGTAAGGTGACTGACTCAAGGTAACACAGCTGAGGGAGCTCCATCTTTGGTTCCAGCTCTGGTGATGTTCCCCTGAACCTGCTGCCTTTGAGGTGGCAGGGAAGGACCTAAGCCCTCTGTGGGAGACGTACCCCCTGCACTGGTCCCTGATGGCAGGACGGGCACCGCACTCAGTCCGTCTGGACCATTCGAACTTTCAGCCATTCAGTGGTCTGTTGTATCGGCTTTTTAAAACCAAACACAGGTCACTTGAGCAAATCCTTGTAGTGTGTGTACCATTATGAAGATAAGCAGGATGTCAACAACTGGAAAAGGAGAAGGGGCTTTTCCAGCAAGGGAACAGCATGAGCAAGGCATGACCTCATGGAAGCCACACTGAGCATTCCTTATTGCAGGTGAATTCTCACCCAGGTCACTCACCTTCTCATTCTGCTGCCTGCAAACTTTATCACTTCCATTCAGTTAGCATTGGAAGAGACGATCAAGTTAAATCCCTGAGACAGTTTAAGTGGAAAAAAGTGAGGTGCAGAATGCTGGGGGTACTATACTGTCATTGGTGGAAGGAAAAGTCTATATGTCCATGGAAACGTGTGTATACATGGCCTGTCTCTGAAAGGGCACATAAGAAATTTTCTCTGGAAAGAGGAACTGGCTGTTGGGGTCACTGTGAAACTTTGCTCTTTTGAGCTGTTTATATTTTATACCCATGGGAAAGAAAGCCAGATTAGGTACAAAGGTCTACGGCTGTCTTGGGAAGCACTGAAACTGAAATCTCTGAGGACTCTCTCATTGTCTCTTTTTTTCTTAAGCTGCTTTGTGGGATGTCGGGGAGAACAAAGGCAGGTAGAAGACCAACTCCGTCTCCCTTACCCATCGCAGGTGGTGGAAAGGGAGGAGACGCATGACTACCGCTGCCTCTTCAGGATGTGTTTTGTTCCCAAGGACCCCCTGGACCTCCTGAAAGAAGACCCCGTGGCCTTTGAGTACCTCTATCTGCAGGTGACTGGGTCTGCGCTTCCTCAAATAGCAGGGGTTGTTCCCAAAGATGGCAAATTGGGTTTTGAACATGAGCTCAAGGCAATTAAGCAACTCCCTAGTAGGGATTATCTTTTTCTGGAGGAGAATGGGCCTGATTATCCCTCAGAATTCCTTTTTCCATCACTGAGTTGCTATGTTAGAGATTTGTGACGTATTACTGAAACTTAGGCTTCGTCCCCCATGTGGGTGGCGCATTTTCTAATAATGCCACTGAGGATCTTGAGAGTTGTGGTCTCGGTTGCTAAAAGCTTTAGTGCTTCAAAGGCTTGTTTTAGAAATGATGAAACTGAGTCTTGAAAAGGTCACATGATTTGCCTAGGTCACCCATTTAGTGGCAGAGCCAAAAAGGGTTCCTTGGCCCCCAGCTCTGCTTCCTTAGGTGATATTTAGTGTGTCATTTTTATTCTGATGATAAAGAATCATTTGGGAGGCATCATGATTTTATGGACGAGATAACTCATAGTAGGTGGATTGACTTGCCCAAAGTCTTACAGAAATGGTGGCAGCAAATGATAGCAACAACACTACTTTATGTTTGTGTAATACTGTGTCCTTTATAGCTGCTTTCATGTGCGTTATCAAATTTAAACCTCACAGAAGCTGTGCAAGGTAGACTTAACTATCCTCATTGAGTGATGGGAAGACACCAGTGTTCAGAGGGTCTTAGTCACTTAACCAAGGTCACACAGTTGAGAATCGGCAGAGCCAGGTCTCAAAGTGAGCTCCTGGTCCTGCTGCCTCTCAGCTGAGAGAACTGGGAACACAGTCTGTCTGTTCTTGTTTCCCAATTCCGCTGATCTAATCTCTTCCAGAGCTGCAGCGACGTGCTCCAGGAGCGCTTTGCTGTGGAAATGAAATGTAGCTCTGCTCTCCGACTTGCGGCTCTGCACATCCAGGAGCGCATCTACGCCTGCGCCCAGCCACAGAAGATCTCTTTGAAGTACATAGAGTGAGTGGGGGGGGGGCCTCTGTGTCTCCTCAACAGCAGCTGTGTGGCATTTATAACTTGGCTGGCCCCTGGCCAGGATGGCCGGATTCCACAGACCGCTGATATTCACCCACCTCCCCATCTGTCTGTCGTCTTTGCTTCCGTTTCCCTCTCCAACCCAGCCTGGCTCCCCCGGGTGTCAGAACCTGGCTGCACCCTCTGAGGCAGAAGCCAACTCCAGGTGAAATGACACAGGATCCCAAAGTAGATTCCCTGTTCCTGGGGGGATGTCTTGGGAAATCGGTTGACAACTTTGGTGTAAAGCCCTTCTGAGGGCAGGAATGCCTTGGAAATTAATTTACTGCTATGAACCAATTAATGTAATTAATAAACTGGTGTGAACCCATTGGTGATGCATTATATTCCTGTTGAGGCCATTTCAAGTCCTGGAATTCCAGCACCTCCTGATTCTTAGCTTAAAATTTCACGTTGGTCTGGGCAGGGTCACCCAGGTTCGCTAACCTCCTCACCAGATCTCAGCTCTGTCCTGTCTGGTCATCATAATCAGATGGGGAATCATGTTTAAAACATAAAATCTTCGGCCTCACCCCTGATATACTGGCTCAGATCTCTAGGGAGTGGGACCTGAGGTTCTGTATTTAACTGGTTTGTTGGGGGATTTTGAAGCTGTCAGGCTGGCACCATTCTGAAGCCTGGCCTCGGGTTCACAGGTGCTCCACGTTGCCCCCCGAGTGTGCGTTGTACGTCTGCTGAGTAACGAGCTCCCAGAATGATCAGTGGGGTTTAATTCATGAATGGCTGTGGCTGGTTTTTGTGGAGAGTGTGTTTGTATAAATATATATTATTTACACACACTCCACAAAAACCAGCCATATATAAATCTATCTTCCATTGAGAAAGAGGCTCATAACTGCAGTGCTGCGAGAACACTAAGTGCTAAATGAAATGTGATTACGCTCTTCATTAGAGCCCAGTACACGGTAGAGATGGGCCTCCTTGTCTCCAATGTCTCCTGGCAGGAAAGACTGGGGAATAGAGAACTTTATATCTCCAACTTTACTCCGAAACATGAAAGGCAAAGACATCAAGAAAGCCATTAGCTTCCACATGAAGAGGAACCAGAATCTGCTGGAACCCCGACAGAAGGTAATATATCAGTGGCCCCTGCCACCCCATACAGCTGTCTGTTGTGAAACCTCAGGGAAAGCATTTTCAACATTGCCTGGATTTTAGGCAAGTGAATAACTCTGATTTAACAGTCTGTTTTTTCCCCCCATTTAAGCAACTTATTTCTGCTGCCCAGCTACGCTTAAATTATCTACAGATCCTTGGGGAACTCAAGACGTATGGTGGGAAAATCTTTAATGCTACTTTAATGGTATGTATCAGAGAACAGGGGAATCCTGCTCTTAAAAGGGATGCTAGAGGTCCTCTGAGGAACATGGCATCTTTTAGCCTAAAATTCCTGAGGACTCTGTCAAGTACTAAAATTTGGGAAACTAAATATTAATGCCATCAGGGAGTGTTTTTCATGCCCTTGCTTGGTGCCAGCCCTATGACAGATGCTGAGGGAGGCAGAGCTGAATAAAGACGTGATTTCCACCCTCGAATGATGGAACAGGGTACCCAACCAGACAAAGCAAAGCCATGAGAGAGGCACAGAGCTGATGCTGTGGAGTTTAAAGACAGCGGATAGCAGTGCCAGCTTCAGGTTGAGTGTGGGAAGGAGAAGGGATTAGGAAAGGCAAGAAGGCTGGGTTTGGCCCAATTTCAGTACAGAGGAAAGGCTCTCTGAGGGAAGGGTACTATAAGCAGTTTACTCTGGAGCTTTGGGTAGATGAAGGTGAAGAGGAAAAGTTGGAAATCACGAAGGAAAGGTAATAATGTTAGACTGAGTGCCAGGCTGGGGTCAGGAGAAGAGAAGAACTGAGGGGTGGGCCTGAGAAGGGAAAAGGGAAGCAAATGAGGCCTCTGCTCTGTCACCCATTCCTCCTCAGGCTTTCTTCCCGGAGCCCAGGCCCAGAGCTTTGTGCTTTTCAGCAGTCAGCGACTGGGGGTGTGCTTTAAGGGAACCCTCCCCCACCACTCAGTCAGCCCAAGAACTCTCCAGGACAAAGCCAGACAATTTACCATTTAGAGATTTTTTTTTTATATTAACAAAGCTCCTTTCAGTGGATTTGGTGTGCCTCTCAAGCCATTTACAGTGATGGGTCAATTTAATCAGACTGCTGACCTAACAACGTGGATGGAAAAAGAAAATCGATGTTTTGAGAGAAAGGAAGAGCATCACATAGCTAGGGGAAGGGAAAAATAGATTGAATCTTTGTACAAGCAGATGACCAAAAGGTGGCAAAGAGACTGGATCACAGAAAGGGAGGCTTGAAGGTGCAAGAAAAACTTTCCTGCCCTCTCCCAGCTGTCAGGTTCCTGTTTGCAGTCCCTCTTACCTCTCCTGTCTGAGGAAAGGACTCGCAATGGCAGAAGCAGCCAAGCACATGGAACTGACACAGGATTCTTGCTGGGCCCTCGGGGTCACAAATGTGGATAAAAACCAACTGCGTCGTCAGGGAGCTTAACATGGACTCTGAGATGTGAAGACAGTAACGACAATAAGAAACTGTAGCTCCTGCTACCAGAGAAATACACAGTGGGGTGTGGGAACAACCCAGGAGAAAAGAACTGTTTTTGTTTGAGGAGAAAGATCAAGCAGTTGTTTTCCACAGATATTTGCAGTAGATTTTGATGGAACCTTTTAAAAAAGGGTCAGGATTTCAATAGGTAATGATGGTGGGGAAAGAACTCCAAGAGGAGGGCACGGCGTGATTATAGGCACTGAGGTGTAAAAGTGCAGGTTGTGTTTATGGTACAGCTAAGAGCCCTGGGGTTTGGCTCCCTATTGTGAAGGGTCTTGGGGGAGATGAATTTATATTTAATTTAGCCATAGGCTCTTGCCTAACTTGGTAGTCCAGGGAGTGGTGGCGAGGACCTGAAGTAGGAATCAAGGAGTTTGCAGAGAGAGGTATCATGTCTCACATGTACAATGTCTTTTCACTAGCTCGTGAATGGAAACTAACTCTCCTTCCTGCTGTCTGCAGTTACAGGATAGAGAATCCTACATTGCCCTTCTGGTTGGAGCCAAGTATGGGATTAGCCAAATTATCAACAGCAAACTCAACATCATGTCGACATTGGCAGAGTTTGCAAACATCAGCCGCGTAGAGCTGACGGAAGAGTCTGAGAAAGTGAGCATGGTCAAAGTGTATCTTCAGGACGTCAAGGTAACACACGAGGAAGGCATTCTGAATCCCGCTTCTGGAATTTGGGGCTTAATTATTCTAGGGTAGTTTATATGAGTTTGAATATTAACAAAGTCTAATGTCCATTTGCTAAAGAGGATGAATTGTCTGTCCTGTCCCATCAAAGGGAAAGTGATGCACAGGGTGCATTTTCCTGGGGAGGTCCTCAAAGGTTTTTTTATATAAACTGAGCCGGACCATGTACTTTCCTGATTGGTTCAGAAACTTAGGTGGGAGCACCAGAGAATTTTATCACATGCATGGGACAAGAGTGGCTGCCCAAAAATTTTGAGTGGCAGTAATTAAAATGAGTAAATGATGCAGGGGACTTCCTGAGCCTTTCTGGAAGGTGCTACATTTATCCTGCCTGCCTTTGATGTCATCCCAATATGCTCAAGGATAGTGCTTTGTTCTTCTTATCACCCCCTCTCTCTCTCTCCACTTGCTCTTGCTTTTTCCTTTTCTAGGTCAGGTCTTGAAGGGGCCCCATTGCATGAATGAGCAGGTGGTGGGGTGGTGGGTGTGGGGGCTGGGGTAGGAGGTGGAAAGGCAGGAGACACTGTGGAGATTCGTTAGGAGGAATCCACTGTGCATGTGTGAGCATGCCTGAGTGCATGTATGGTTGTGTGTGTGCACACGTGTGCATGTACACTCATTTCAAGTCTTGTTGGTTAGGATACAGGACACCAGGAGGCCTGTGGATCATGGCTGGATTTACTTGGACTCTCTCATTGGCCCCACATGGCTTCGTCAGTCTTCAGCCTGTCCCTTAGCCCTTTATGAACGTAAGAGCTGTCTTTCCCTTTAAAGGTTCTGACTTTGCTGCTGGAATCCAACAGTGCAAAAGACCTCGCCTGCCTGATTGCCGGCTACTACAGGCTGTTTGTCGACCCAGTTACCTCCATTTTCCTCTGGCCAGGGAACAAACATCAGGGGCACCGGGTGTCTGCTGAAGAAGGTGAGGCGCTGAGGCTTGCTCCAGTGAGGATGGGCCCATTTCACAGCCTAAAGGGAGGTGCTGAGCTGAGCCGAGACTTCAGCTCAAGTAGATGAAAGCTGTTTCTCCGTTTACTTCCTGGCAAAGAGTTGATCTTTTCAAAATCCTAAATAGAGAAGTTTCCTTCGTACCTGAGAGTCCTCTAAAGCCAAGAATACTGTTAAAGGTCTCTGAGTCCCTGCAGTATTTCCTAAAACCATCTCTAAGATCCACTGTGTTTTGTCTTTCTTTGCCAGCAAAAAGAGATGTCACTTATTTGTTCACAGGGTACAGGTGACCTAGCTTCTCGTTCCATGCCTACACAGTCTCTGGCATTCTCGTGAATTATGTAACAGAAATTTTCAACCTTACATGTTTAGAAGAAGTGGGTACCTGGAGATAGAAGGGACTCGAAACCATACCATATAAGGAATGAAGTAGTGGAGGCCAGATGAGATGAGTACTTTCCAGTGTCTTCCAGGCTTCTGCCTCAGCACTTTGATCAGCATTTTCCCAGTGGTGTGCTGACAAATGTTTAACTGTCTCTGCAGGGAAAAACAGAAACAAAACCCTGATTTGAAACATTGCGTATTTCCATGGTATGAACACTCCCACCGTGGCTAATTTCAAACTACCAGCGTGATGACACTGAAGGTGGAAATGGGGAGAGATGCTCAGGAGCACACCATTATATAGCGTTTCCTCCATATAGATAAAATAGGCAGAAATAATCTCAAGAGTTTGATGGTAGTAAGATAAAGTAATTAGGAAGTGATGCATTTGGGCATTTGTTACTTTTCTTTTTAATACCATTTTTGAATGAGGGATGATACCTCAGAGTCTGGTCGGGAGAAGGAGCAGTTGTGGAGGTGTGGTGGCAGGAGGCACTGCTTCTTCAGGGGCCAGTGACAGTGGTAAGATAAGGTGCTCCGTGGGGGAGGAGAGTATTTGAATTAGATCTTGAAGAACATGCTGGGGTTAATCAGGCAAAGAAGGGAGGAGAGATCATTTGAAGCAAGGAGACAACATGGAGGCATGACACAAAGGGCAAGGTCATGATCTGTGAGAGGCTCTCTGTAGTGGCTGGAGCATGGGAAGGCTGCAGCAGGTGACAAGGCTGCGGAGGAGGGGTCAGGGCCGCCCTGTGAGACGGGTGACAAGGCTGCGGGGAAAGGGGTCGGGGCCACCCTGCGAGAGGCCTTAGCTCTCGCGAGATTGCTTAAGCTCTTCCCTCTAGGCAGGGGAGGCCATCAGAAGGTTTGAGAAGAATGTGATGTGATCAGAGAGAAGTTTGTCGAAAGATCACGCTGAAAGCTGATGTTGGAGGAGAGATTGGAGACCTGGCTCAATGCCCCCAACCCCATGAATCCTTCCCGAGTACCAGCAGCTAGATGAGTTTTCACTGTTTTAAAAGCCCTGTCACACCAGTGGGTCCCCAGGGCCTGGCTTCAGAATGGTACCAGCCTAGCAGCCTCAGAATCTCCCACAGAGTTACTCAGAATACACCTTCTCAGGGCACACTCCCTAGATGTTGGACTCAGTACATCAGGGCTGGGGCCAAGGATCTGTTTCATCTTTTCAATACGATTCCCCTCTGACTTTGATGCCCAGACAGGACAGAGCTGAGATTCGAGCAGGGGCTGCACAAACCTGGGTGATGCTGCCCACAGCAAAGTGAAACCCAGTTAAATCCCCACCACGTTCCCGTGGACAGATCACTCTCCTTGAAAGGAGAGAAGGGGGGAGTCCTGTCTCTATTAGGTGGTTCAGATAGATGTGAGAAAGGAGGCCTGCTGTTGTAGAACGTTGGGGAACGTGGAATTTGAGTCTCAGGGATCCCGTGTCAGTCAGTATAGCATGATCTGGGACAGTCACCCTTCTGGACCTCGGGTTTCTCCTCTGGAAAATGGGAGGGCAGGCAGTGTGGGGGTGAGAGGACACATGGGCATCTGCCAGTCCCCAAATGCTGTTTTGTAACTCTCGGTGTCCCCCTTGTTGCAGGCTACGAATCCAGGGCGTGCAGCGACTCCGAGGAGTCCTCGGAAGTGGACTGCATGCCGGAGCCTCGCTCTGACGGACGCCTACCGAAGCCGGGCCCCTGCAGACCACTCGTACAAGAGCAGCAGCCTCCTGGGGACAGCCCCGCGCCTGAGGTGGCCAGGAGAGGCCCGAGCACCTGCGGGGCCAGCAGCACGACAGACAGTGCCGAGTCTGAGGCGTCCGACTCGGCCAACACTGAGAGCCGAGGCTGCAGGACCAGCGGCTCGAGCGAGTCCGTGGACGCCCTGGAAGAGGACGACTTGGACGCCTGCTCCTCCAGCAGGTCAGGCTTCTTCCCCTTTAGCTCGCCAGGCTTCCTAGAGAGTCTGGATTCCGACAGCCAAGAGGAGAGAAACAGGATTGAAACGAGTGGCTTCCTGTGTCTCCTGGACCTGGCCCAGAGAGCCAACGCTCAGGGCCAGAAGACAGAGTTTCCTGAGAGCCCCGCTCCCGAGACGTTCAGCTGGGGACCAGAACTGAGTGCGGTCCCACTGGACCCCAGGCTCTATGAGGGCAGCCAGACCGCCTACTACAGCCTGTGCTCCAGCGTCTCCCCGGCCAGCCACCTGAGCGACAGCTCGGAGAACACAGCTTCCCGGCAGGGTGGGGGCCCGCCAGCCTGGGGGCAGCAGGGCTGGACGGAGCCCCAGCCCAGCTCCACGCTGGAAGCTCTGGCCCCACATCTGCCGCTGGCCTTTGAGGATGGCAGCTCGGATGAGGAATACTATGATGCTGCCGACAAGCTCACACCCCCAGACGCCCTCTCAGGTGAGCCCTCCCCAGCAGGTCTGCAGACTCAGTGGGGTGCTCCTGAGTAGCCACCAGGGACGGGGACCAAGCTTGAGGGAAAACCACATGAGTAAAGCAGGGTCCTTGTCCTCTTTTGAGGAGGCTGCCCTGGGCTCAGTGGACCAAATTATGAGCATCGTGACTTCAAGTCAGGACTACAAGGGAGGTTCAGAGAACTGTGAGCAAGCAGAGATAGATGGGAGGCACTAATTCAACAGTGGGAATCAGGGAAGGCTTCTCAGAAGAGGTTGCCTATAAGCTAGGCCTCATGAGATGGACAGAATTTACAGAGAAGGAAAAGAGCTTGACAGGAGTGCCCAGCAGAGGAAAGCGGCTGTGTCACTATTGACCCTGAAGTCACATTAAATGAGGCCTTGAAGCAAGAAGAACCTAGCTGACAGGCCATTGGCGGCCCCTTAAGGGACTCTGACAGAAGAAGGCAGGGGGTCTGTTGGCCATGTTTCTTTTGGGTTCCTCATCCCTTCCTCCACATAGAGTGACTTCCCAAGCCGACCTGGGATCCTTGCAGGACATTTACACACACAGACTCACGTTCACACTCACACAGCATGCTGCAGGAAAAAAAGGGAAAATAGCACGCAGATGTTGACGGGGGCCTCCCAGGAGCTGGCGAAGGCGCAGCCATTTGATTTCTGTTTCAGCCCCTTCCTGTTGCTCCCTGCCCTCCAGGGGGTTCCCGTTGCTCATGGGAGAAAGGCCAGCTCCTTAGCAGCCCTGCGAGGCCCTTTTAGGTCCTCTGTGACATGGCCTCTGCCTGTTTCTCTCCTTCCTCCTGAGCCCTCTCTGCATTCCCGCCACAGACCTCCTTGCGACTCTTTACAAGTGCCGAGCCTTCGCCCCGTGGCCTTTGCACATGCTGCTTTCTGACTGAAACACTCCTCACCTGACCTGTGGCTGCTGATGCCCATCCGTGTCTCAGGTGCCACCTGGAAATTCACTTCCTCCAGAGACATTAACCAGGTGGCCAAGACGAGGCAGGTCTCCCCATCCCTGTCACACATCTTACACCACCCTGGGTGCCTCCTGTTTGGCACTTAGCGCTGCTCGTAATTACATATTCATTTGCGTGATTTTGTGTTGATGTTTCTCTTCCTCAGTGACTGAGAACTCCTTTGAGTGTAGGAACTGTGCATTTCTCACTCATCTCTGTGTCCCCAGCACATAATGCCTGGCAGTTGTTGCTGAATGAATGAATGAATGTTCCACCGTCTACGCTGAAAGCATTAATTGACTGTGCCCCTAAGGAAAGGGGAAACCCATGGCTGGATTGTGCACTGTTCCCTGAAGAACCCAGCCAACTGCCATCCATGCCCCCAGCCTTGCCCTGCTGGGTCAGCCACTGTGCTAGGGGCAAGATGGGGGTGCAAGAGACCATCAGTCAAGGCCTCCTTCACAGGAGTCCAGTCAAGGATGTAGGTCCATACTGGTGTTGACGAAAATAATCCATAACCAATCTATAAATGAAAATTTGGGAGAGTTTATTCTGAGCTGAAATCTGAGGACCATGGCCCGGGGCCTTTCTTCCCAAAGGAAGAAAGGGCACCGAAAAAGTGAGGTGCACACAGTGGTTATATACCCCCAGACAGGATGTTTCACATATGATTGAAATGTCCCTTTTACACTAGTCGTGAGACTGCTCTGTCGGCACAGCGATTGATGGAAACAGCAGGTAGGTCTTCTGTCTCAGTGAACACAGCAGGGTGGCAGTCTGTTGTCTCGAGCTGGGTGGTCACAGGTGAGCTGGGTGGTCAAAGGTGAGCACAGCAATCAGTTCCTAGCCTAAGGAAAGATGCTTATCCCTAAGGAAATGCCAATGTGGGGGAAGCTGCACCTTTATCTTAAGGCCATTTGTTCTGGCCATAGGAAATGTCTAAGCAGATATACAATGTGTGCTCAATAGCCACAGTCAGGCCCTTTTGGAAAAAACAAAGTCAGGCCGAATTAGGTTTATACCAAATGTCTTCCTCATACATTCCAACATATCCTACTGCTTGCCATTTTTATTTGTCATTTCCCCCTTTTGATCTCTAATCTTTTGATAGAAAGCATTGATGATCCAAATATTGTCCCTCAGTGCCAGGGTGGTTGCTGCCTGCCCTGGGTCCATCATGTCCCTCGGTGCTAGGCTTTTAGCTCATTTATTTGCCTAGTTGTCCACGTTGGGGGGAAATAGTGGACAAGCATAGAGGTATATGTATTAACAGAGGAAGCATTTCATATGTCATGTAATTTCCAATTAATTTTAGATTGTTGCACAAAGATTGTATATGTGCTTTTCTATGATACTTCACATTTACATTGCATAGGATCATAGAACAAGTACAGTAACAATAATAATTCAACATATTTGAAAGGATTAGTCTGAAATGAATTCTTAGTCATAGTCCCTATCAGAAAGGGAAATTTGTCCAGGGTTATAAGACAGATCAACCATCTCAAGCCGTTGAGCAACCATTACTCTAGTTTGTATGCTACTCTTACAACACTGAGTAAAGAAAACAACAATTAGTTTGAATATTATGACCAGTACAAGGATTCCAAGAAGTAGTGGAAATAGGAATTCCAATCCAGATTGAAAAAGGGAACTGATACTGAAAAGGGAGCCAACCAAACAATTCAAACTGGGTGCAGGATGGCATAAGGCATCCACCTGCTTCTTCATGTGCTTTAGCAGAGATGACACATTGGAAGACTCATCAGGTATAAAAGCACAGCATCCAGTCTGAATGACTGTATATGTACCACCTTGGGATGCAGTAAGAATATCTAAAGCCATTCTGCTTTGAAGGACAGCCCCTCTCATTAAAGACATTTCAGTATTTAATAAGGCTATTCCTGCTTGACTATCATTAAGGGCTTCTTGAGTAAATTTAGTCGGAGATTCCATATGTAGTAATGACATCTTTTAGCCCCAAAGAAGAAGCAAATATAGCTGCAAATGTAGCCATACCAGTGAAACACTGAACAAGCCCATCTGGCCTTAAAGAGAGGGAGATTGGCAACAGGTTTTAACGCAGCCTGACTCCTTCCCTGCTTTTAAAGGAAACTTGGGGTACAGTGTTTTAGCCATCCAGGCAGTAGCCAAGGCCAGAGATTTGTTCCACATAACCACTGAGCTCATTAGGATTCCCTTGATAAATGCCTGGCCTTCAAGTCCAGTCTGTTTTAAATTAATCACTTTTTTTTTTAAAGTATGATAGTATTCCAAACAAATTATAAAATAGGTACACAGTTTAAGCATAACAAATGTTTAAATGAGGAGATAGAAATTGGGAATACAGGCCTGGTCCAGAGTCTTGGGACAGCTGTCTACGAAAGATGCTGTCTTCTTCTCCTCGTACGGTCCTTTCCAACAGGGCTGCAAAGAGTCTTATTTGATGTCTCTTTCAATAAATAAATTCTTCAGGTTACAGTCCATGATCCTTAAGTTTTGGGAATTCTCTGTGAAAGAATCAGCTACCAATCTTTCATTTCTTTTAAGCACCACAATAAGACCATGAAAACAATGTAATACATCCCTTAAGCAAAGCTGGTTCATATATTTCTTCATTTAACTGCATAGGCTGTTGTATTATTTAAAAAAGAGACAGCCGATGTTTATAAAAAGTATAGATCTAAGATTAAGGAGCACTAGCACAAGAGCTTTTGGCCGTGAGAGAGTAAATGCTTCTGAAAGCTTTGCCAATTAAGTTTTGGTTGTGCCATAGTTCCTTTTACCAATCCTGAGGATTGAGGATGGTAAGCACAGTAGAAATGCTGCAGTATTTGCCAAACATTACAAATGGGTTTCCAGTCACTGTGTAACTCGGGAGGAATTCCTCAAACAGGAATTTATTCTTTTCGATAATAATTTACCTAAAGCCATTGCTCTGCTGCAAGGAAAAGCCTCAAAACAATGTGAGAACATGCAGATCATTACAAGACATATTTATCCTTGAGATGGTGGCATTTGGACAAAGTCCAATTGTCATACCTCAAAGGATCCCTTAGGAAGGGAAAGTGGCTTTGTGACTCATGAAGTGGCTTCTCTGGATTATACTTTGGACATATAACACAACAAGTAGAGGCCATATGAGCCACTGGGAGAAAGTTTCCAAAAGTATTGTTTTTCCCTTTTGTTGCAACCTTTATGTATATACATATTTTCTTCTGTGGCAATTTCTTAGGCCTGTAGAAGGAAATCTTTTTACTGGGTTAGCAGAGTTAACAGAAAGTAGCAGGCATTCTTGGGGCTGGACAGTATATCCAGCTTGATAACATCCTCACTTATCATTTAAGTAAGACTCATTTGTAAACCAAATTAAACAATAGAATGCAGTCGTGATCTTCTCCCCTTGTGATGTTGGAAGCAAGGTAGCAGGGTTAATGGCTGGAGCAAATTATAAACTAGTTCCTGAGTCCAGGGGGCAGGCAGTCAAGAAGACTTCTAGATGTCAAAGTCAAAGCATCTTTTTGCAGCTTGAAATGTCTCTGATGATGTCATCGGGCATTCAGGTATCTTTCTGAGTGGCTTACAGCTTACACAGCAACAGACAGGAATCTCTCAAGTTTCTATCAAGTTGTCCAGCTTTAGTTTGCAAGATTTCAGGAAAAAGAGCAGGTTCAATTCTCAATGATTCCAAATGAAAATGAAGTAAAGAAATTGAAAACATTAATTTGGAGATTTGTAACCAGATATTTCAGTAGAATTCAGGATGCAGTCCAGTTCACAGGTAGAAAAAGCCTCAAAAACAATTAACAGAACTAGGATCTAATAGCCACAAATGAGCATTATAGTTTTTCACTGAAACATAATTCTTCTCTCTAAAATCACCCTCATTTTTACCAAAGATAGCCAAATTAAGACTAATTGGCTTGCAAAATAAGTTTAGTTTCAAGAAACTTGGCCCAATTATTTACATAAGTGCAGCAAGAATAGCACTTGATCATATAGGCTCTTAAATCTGCTTTGCTGGAAT